GGGGTCTCCCAAGGTATTGCGCAAGGTCCTCCTGGTTTACAGCTTCCGAATGGCTCTCGTGATGCTGGTCCACTAGACCCCTGACTTCTCGTTATATAGTACATCTTGAAGTCAAACAATGTCAGTACTCTTTTTTTTTAACATTATGTTAACTATTCTGGGTGTGTTGCCTTTCCATATAAACTTTATAATCAATTTATTAATATCTATAAAATAATTTTAATTGATAAAGTTATGCATATATTATGTATAACATGATTTTTAAAAGTATATATACATTGTCAAATGACTAAATCTAGCTATTTGATATATACATTACCTAATGATGATATTTTTGCACTTACTGAGGTTTTGATTAGGATTGCATTGAGTTTTTACATGAAGTTTGAAACAATTGACATATTGGTAATTTGTCTTCCCATCAGTAAACATGGAATATCCATTTATTTGATCTTTAAAAAATTTTCTGTCATGAATTTTGCTTTTTTTTGACTTATGAGTTTAATTTGATGATCATTCCATTTTAGCACACATAAATCTACCACATCATTTTTAACAAGTAAATAATATTTCATTATGGGTTTGTACAAAATTTACTTAGCCATATCCTCATTGATGGATAGTTAGACTGTTTCTAATGTTTTTCTGCCACAAACAGTCCTATAATGAAACTCTCATGTAATTTATCTTCAGGTTCATATCTTAAAATAAATTTCTCAGCATAAAGTTACAGAGTCAAATTTCTTTCCAAAGAAATTGTATAAATTTATACTCTGAGGAGAAGACATGAGAATTTTCATTTTCCACTGCCTCATTAATATAGCAGGCATCAATTCTTATAATCTTTACTATTAGAGTCAGTAAAGAATAGATCTGATAGTAATTATTTATATTTCATCCAAAAATGAGGTTGAACTTTTTATTCACAAGTTCTATTGTTCATCACAAGTCCTGTTGATAAAAACAATTATAAAAAGCATTCTCTGGAAAACATTTGGATTATGACTGATTTACAGTGGGTTCAAATAAATAAAATATAAGTGGTAAAATATTTGAGTTTTAAAATTTTTAAATATGAGAATTTAGGATTTAATTTTAATTCATAAATCACTAATAATACCCTTTCATAAGTATCCTAAATAACTTTAAAATTACTTTTAAGCTGAATTGCTACATGACTTCTCATACAAATTAAATACAAGTTACTTGATGTTACTAATAAAATGTGATAATATGTAATGTATATCCTTTGTTGCTACAGTGAAAGCTTATAAATGTTACCACTTCAACATTTTTGCTGTGGGAGGCCCTAGATTCAATCCCCAGAACTGGTTTTAAAAAAACAAGGTTCAAACAGATACTTACATATTTCTGCATGAAAAAAATAACTTATTCTGGTTTGTTTCAGACCTGTGGATATCTGGGCTTTGGGCTGTATGATCATTGAGATGGCCACCGGAAGTCCCCATCTTCCTAGTAGCTCTGATTTAGATTTACTCTATAAAATTGTTTTGAAAGTAGGTAGGTATTACTGAAATATTGTTACATATCTAAAACAAATGTTACCAAATCAGTTCTGCTTGATTTTTAAACTCAGTTTTTCTGCCTGAGCACAAGGTAGCATACTGTACTGATAGATGGTAGCAGGTGGATACCTGGGACTGATAAAGAAGGCACAAAATTCTGTTTTGTTTTGTTTTTGTATTTTTTCCGGTACCGGGAATCGGACTCACGACCTTGTGTTTGCCAGGCAGGCACTGTGCCGCTGAGCTAAATCCCCAGCCTCACAAGATTCTGTTTTTACAAATAATATTTTCTTTGCTAGGATGCAACTAGCTAAGCCATGTGTTGATGGTTGATGCTAAGAAAAACAGTACAGTAGGAATGTATTTCAATTTGCCTAAAATTTATTTTTAAATTTTGGCTTCTTCAAATATTTGTGCTTCTAAACCAGGACTTTTAAACAGTAAGATTGAGTCAGATGCTTTTAAGTGGAGCTAGAAAGTCAGTTATTACTCAGAAAATATCCTTTTTGTGGGCTTGAGTAGTTACTGAAGATTGAACCCAGGGCCTTTGCACTGAGCTATGTGTCCAGCATTTTTTTTTTTAAACAGGTCTCACTAAATCACTTGAGTTGCTCAGGCTGGACTCAAACTTGTGATCCTGCCTCAGACTCCCAGAGTGCTGGGATTACAGGCCTGTACTACCATACCCAGCTCTCTTTAGCAACAGTAACTCACACAGCAGATAGCCAAGTAGCTGTGTTTATATGTTCTCTTAACATTCTTATTATGATACTAATGTTAGCAGGAATTTTAGAGGTGATAGGATAAATTCTGTCATTTTACAGATGAAGAAACCAAGCCATAAAAAATATGAAGGTGCTGGGCATGGTGGCACATGCCTTTAATCCCAGCCCTTGGGAGGCTGAGGCAGGAGGATCACTGTGGGTTTGAGGCCAGCCTGGGCTACATAGTGAGTTCAAGTTGAACTACACCTTGAAAACCCTCAAACCCTTCCCCAAAAAGAAGGAATTTGCTCAAAGACGCAGAACTAGTTACAGCAAAGCTGATTCTAGTTCTTTCCATTCCTGTTTACTGTTCTTTCCATTTATTAATACTCTCCAGCATTGTTTCTTCTATGCAATACTTTTAGTTCTAAATAATTTTTGATGTTTTGTCAATCTGTGTTGTTGATGAGCACTTGATATTTAAGCCATTTAGATACAAATAAGGAATGTATAAAGTTGGAATATGCTTTTCCTAATAGCACCATATATTATGTTTTATAGTTTGGGAAAAGAAAATGATCCTGGAATTTCAGCTATTTTCCTCCCTATATGTTATCAACAATTTCCTTGGGGAACTTTGTTTTTAAAAATCGTATATTTAGTTTCTTCTTGAAAGTCAAAAAATTTAAAAATCACAATTGATACTGTTTCGTGTTTCTGTTTTTAGTGAATTAATGTACACCACAAAGCAATTTGACTATTTTGATTACAGACTTATTTCTCTGTTTTCTTATTAACATATTTTTGTCTTTTCAGGCAATTTGACACCTCACTTGCAGAATATCTTTTCCAAGAATCCCATATTTGCTGGAATGGTCCTTCCTCAAATTCAACACCCCAAAAATGCAAGAAAAAAATATCCAAAACTTAATGGATTATTGGCAGATATAGTTGATGTATGTTAAGGGATTAAGAATTTATACCTGAGAAATTTGCATAAATCATAATATTTTAAAGTATTACTTTAAGGAAATTATAAAAGGACTTCTTAAGTAATGTTAATCTGTTAAAAGTTACAGAAAAATTAAAATTTATAGACCTTTAGAACTAGAAGTCCTACAAAAATTAAAATGTATACACTGTTAGAACTAGAAGTCCCAAAGATAATCATACACATTATTTTTAGTTTACCTCAATTTAAATAGTAGCTTGGGATAAACTGGAAAAATTCTAAGGCCTCACTTTGTTTACCCCCATCTTTTTAAACATGCAACCTAGCCAGGGTAGGGATTTATTTGTACCATGGTGTCTTAGAGAATCTATAGAGAATTCGGTGGCAGCTATAGTTTTGATATTACTGAAAAATGCATTTGTATACCAATACCAAAATTCATGTTAAATGGAGAAAACAGAAGCATGCTATAGCCTTTTCTATTATTTTGTTGGGTGTTACATTTTATTTAAACTAGATAATATACTAGCACACTTTATTACACAATTGAAATATAAGATAGATTTAATGTGAATAGTAAATTTGCTTTCCTTTCTTCTCTCTAAGCAGTCAAGGGCCAGGGATATAGCTCCGTGGCGCAGTGCCTGCCTGGCAAGTGTGAGGTCCTGCGTTTGATTCCTGGTACCAAAAAAACAAAAACAACAACAAAAAAACACCAGTCAACTTTTTTTTTTTTTTTTTACCGATTTCTTTACCAGGAGCAGTGAATTTGCTTATAATTTATTGTCCTTTCTAAAGAGTGATTTCCTAAATTTCAGAGCAAATATAGTATAATGATTAAAAAAAGAAAGGGATCTTGGAGTCACACTGACTGCACTGGAAACCCAGACCTGCTACTAATTGTTCTGTAACTAGGTCAATGACTTAGTTTACAGCTCAGGTTACCGGGCTATCAAATGACAGTAGCAGTACTTACCTCCTGAGGCTGGAGGATTAAATGAAGTAGTTGGAAGTGTGTTTAGCACAGTCCCCAGAATAAACTGTCAACAAGTGTTAATTTTTTTATTTTATTTTATTGGTACCTTTTAGATATACAAAATGATCACATTCATCATAGGGAGTTAGTACTATACATGATATATCTTGTGTCGTTTTTTCCCTTTCCCCTCTCCTTTCTTCAACCTCTCCTTCTCTCTTTATTTACAAAAGCTTTGTTTCCAACAAATGTCAGTGTTAATTGTTGCTGCTGTTACACTGATGTGTAATATAGTTGAGGGTTGGGGAGATAGCTCAGTGGTGGAGCACTTGCCTTGGTCTTGGATTTGCTTTCTGGTTTTGCAAAAACAAAAGAACATCATTGAAAGAAAAATTCTTTAATTGGTACCTAGGGAAACGGTGAGTTTATTGAAGATCAGAATTGTTTATTTCATTTTCAGTTTAATTTCTCCTTTTGAAATATAGAAGAAATGCATAAACCAGGTCATTTGGTGTAGATCTGAAAAACCAGAGGCTGAGACAGGAGGATCACAAGTTTGAGCCCAGCCTGGGCAACTAGTGAGCCCCTTTCTCAAATATAAAATTAAAGATGGACTGAGGATGTAGTTCAGTGTAAAGGGCCTGAGTTCAGTTCTCATTAACACACACACACACACAGAAAAAGAACTACATAGTAATTATAGAAAAATAGAAAATATACAATAAACAAAAGAAGTTAAGCTTTTCCCAACTTCTGCAAGCCAAAGAAAAATTACCATGAACATTTTGATTTCTATATTTTGAGTTTTTCCAGCCCAACAGATGGATAGAAATTAATGCTACCATCCTTTACACTTTGCTATATAGTATTCATTTTTCAGTTAGCAGTGTATTGTAGTTGTACTGTTATGTCAGTAAATATGTAAATGCATTATAACCCCCCCCATACTGACGACTGAACCCGAGGTTTTGCACATGAGAATGATCCAACACTGAGCTACACCCCTACAGCTCGTTTTATTTTCTTATTTTGAAACAAGGTCTTGCTAAATTGCCACAGCTGGCCTCTACCTTGTGATCCTCTTGCATCAGTCTCCTACGTAGCTGGAATTACAGGCATGTACCATCGTGTCGGGCTTGCATCATAATTTGCAGCAGCTGCATAACATCTCATTGCATGACTATACTGTTAGTTTATTTAATTGACCTTGCTTTTCTTGACATTTAAGTTGTTTTCAGTTTTCCCCCCACTAGTAAAGATGTTCCAGTGAACAAGTCCAAGACTACTGGTTTTATTACTTCCTTAGGATGAATTGCTAGAAGTGAGATTAGTGGATCAAAAAGCTTGTAATTTCTAGAATTTTTTTCCAGAAGGGCTTCATCATTTTATAATTCCAGCCTCAATCTAGCATTGAATAGTATAATGTAAAAAATTTTTGCCAACTTAATAAGCTAGAAGCAGTATCTTTTTTAAAAATTGCATTTAAAAAGTTTCTGGTTAGAGGAAGACGTTGGACAATTTGCTAATATTTATCAACCAATTATATTTCTTTGAAAAAGCATCCTTACCCTATTTGTCAATTAGAGTACTTAACATTTTCATATTGATTTATAAAATAACAAGTGTGTTCTTCGTCATAAGTTGCAAATATTTTTTTAATAACTGATAGCTATAATAACCCAGTGATTTGGAGTGTCACATTTATCATAGACAAAATGCTTTACATGATTGAGTCTGCTTCTGTTTCACTGATTTTTTTATATTAGAATTAGTTCCATTTTAACATTATTTTAACTTTAAAGTACGTTTTAATATCTGGTATAGGACATGTGTTTTTTTCTTTTCTTTTTTTTTTTTCCGGTATTGGGAATCGAACTCAGGACCTCGCACTTGCGAGGCAGGTGCTGTACCCTGAGCTAAATCCCCAGCCGTGTCATGTATTTTTTTCTGAGGTATACATTTTCTAAATAATTTTACTGAGGTACAGCTTAAACTGTATATTCCTAAAGTATATAATTTGTTGAGTTTTGATAGGTGTAGAGATAGATGAAAGCACTACATTCAAGGTACCTAATATTTCCCTTACCCTCCAAATTTTTTGCTCTTCTGCAGTTCTTTTTTCCCTCCATTTCTGTCCCTAGTCACTGATGTGCTTTCTGTTACCGTAGATTTAGTTTGCATTTTCTGGAATATTGTATAAATGGAATCGTAGAATAAGTACTCTTTTATGTCTTGATTCTTTTAACTCCACTTAATGGTTTAGAGCTTTATTCATGGGTGGCGTACAAATATAATTCCAGCTACTCAGAAGTCTGGGGCAGATGATCCTGAGTTCAAGGCCAGCCTGAAAAAACGAGAACAGATTCATTCATGGTTTTGCATATGTCAGTAATTTCTTCCTTTTTTAACTGAGAAATATTCTGGGTTTTGTTTTGTTTTGTTTCTTTGAGACCAGGTCTCACTATGCAGTTCAGCCTGGTCTTGAGCTCATTATGTACCCCAGGTGGCCTTGAACTCAGGTGATCTTCCTGCCTCAGCCTCCTGAGTGCTAAGATTATAGTCATGTGCTACCACACCAGCATACATATACCACACTTTTTAAATCCATTCCTTTATTTTTTAGTTTTTTTTTTCCCATTTGTACATTATAAATTGCTATGTACATTCACATACAGATTTTTATGTGGACATATATTTTTATTCCTCTTGTGTAAATATCTAAGAGTACAACAGGTGGTTCTTTTTTTTGTTTTTTATCTTTTTGAGACTGGGTCTCACTGTGCAGTTCAGGCTGGCCTTAAGAGCTCACTTTGTAGCCCAGACTGGCCTCAAACTCACAATGATCCTCCTGCCTTAGCCTCCCTAGTGCTAGGATTACAGGTGTGTGCCACCACACCCAGCTCAGAAACAGCTGGTTCTTAAGGTAGGTTTATGTTTAATTTTTAAAGAAATTGCCAATGTATTTCCCAAAGTGTCATATTTTACATTTTCCAAGGATATATATTTAATTTTTTGAACTGTATTATTCACAGACAGACTATATCTAATTGTTTGCTTCTAACCGGCTACGATTTAGGCAGGCCTTTTAGCATTTTTCTTATTTTTATTGATTATTCATTATGTTTTAGAGTAAGCACAATTTTTTTTATTTTAAAGGGAAAAGAACAAAAACAAAATAACAAAAACAAAGACAAAAACAAAACAATACAAAAACTATAAAAACGATAAAGAATTTCAGAACAAGACGATAAGAAATCAGCAATGGTTGTTGTATTACTTATTTTATCTTCAAAGTAGTTGCTCAGATTACCACATATAGGCATGCAAGGTTGATCAAACAATTAAACATTAACTGTTCCTTCAATAAACCAATAGAAATTATTAGGACAATTATCTTAGCTATTGTGTGTGTGTGTATATAAATTTCCCTTCCTTCTTTCTTTTCTACTTTCCCTCATCCCAGTTGTTCTTTCGTATTGAGCAGTTTCTTTCCCTTTCACAATATCTCTTGTCCCTTTCAGTTTTATTTACTCATTCAGATTCTTACACTAGGGAGACAATACGGAGTTTACACATTCAGGTCTGATTTATTTCACTTATGAGTATGGTGTCTAGTTGCATCCATTTACCTATAAAAGCCTCAAGTTTATCTTTTATTAGTTGAGTAATACTCCATTTTAAAAAATACTACATTTTTTTATGCACTCCTCAGTTGATGGGCATTTGGGTTGTTTCCAAGATTTTGCTGTGACAAATTGTGCTGCTATAAACATGGGTGCACATGTATTGCTGTGATATGATGTTTTTTATTCTTCTGGGAAAATACCCAGAAGGGGAATGGCTGGGAGTTGCAATTTTAAGGATCTAGATATTTTCACATCATAAAGTATGTAAAAGACTCATTTCCACCTTGTGAATCAATGAAAACACCCACATAATATGAAATTTACCCCCTGACCAAACTCTTAAGTGTACAGCACAGTTTTTTAAAAGTATAAGCACATTGCTATACAGCAGATTCTATGGACCTTTTTTCTAAATCAATTTTTGTTTTGTACTGGGAATTGAACTCAGGACCTCGTGCTTGCCAGGCAGGTGCTGTGCCACTAAGCTGTATCCTTGACCCTTTGTAAATGTATTTCAACTATATATTTTGAGGGGCTGGGGATTTAGCTCAGTGGCACAGCGCTTGCCTGGCAAGCGCGAGGTCGTGAGTTTGATTCCTGGTACCAGAAAAAAACCAACCAAACAAATAAACAAACTATACATTTTGAAATAATCACAAGCATAATACTGTAGACATTTTCCTTGCTTTTTTCTGGATTTTAATTCTGGCTCCTCTATTATGAGATCTTAGACAAATTACTTCTCTTTGATCTCCTTGTGTCATGTTGGGGATTATAATACATGCTTTGTAGGGTTGTTGTTGGGATGAAATGATAGGAAAATGCTAGAGCATTGTCTGGCGTTTAATATAAGCATCCATTAAAGTTATTTATATTTTGCTTTCTTTCAACAGAAGAATGAAAATTGAAAAGCAGCTGCCTTTTATTCAGATTCTGTCTTCAGTATTTTAGTTAAAGAAATGTGTTCTATTTATAAGCACAGTGTAATTATTTAATTACATATAGATTCATGATGCACAGCTTAATATTCAGAGCTTTCCATTGGTTGTTTTTGTTTGTTTGATTAGTCTTCTTTATAATTGAAGTACTCCTACAGCAGCAAACAGAAAAGATCTTTCTTTTCTTTGTTTTCTTTTTTTTTATTTTTGTGGTTTTTTTGAGACGGGGTCTCACTATGTAGTTCAGGCTGGCTTTGAACTCGGCATGTAGCCCAGGCTGGCCTCACACATGCAGTAATCCTCCTGCCTCAGCCTCCCAAGTGCTGGGATTTACATGTATGTACCACCACACCTGCCTAGAAAAGATCTTTTCTAATGATGGATCTCTGAAGGATTTTGGGAGCTTGAATATATGCAAAATTGTGTTATGCCATAGAAAGAACACTGAGCGAGTTAAGATTTCACTTTGGCAAATCACTGTGCTTCCAGACCTGTGAAATGCCACTGATTACCCAGAACCTTTGCAGTCTACAGGACTGACAGAGGATCAAAATGAGCTAAGTACTTTGTGTTAACTATAGCAGAAACGGAGTGACTTTTGTTATGGTTCGAATCATGGGACATTTAACCCATCATAACACTTTACAAGTGCAAAGCTCTTAGGGAAATAAAAGGTTAAAACTTGCTGGGATCTTATTCCATCTTTTCAAGAACTCTTTTAGCTGTAAGTAATTAATTACGCCTTCATTTGTCAAGGGAAGTTTTACCTTGTTAAAAACTCATTACTGTATTAAAATTGTTTTTCTTTTCTAGGCTTGTTTACAAATTGATCCTGGTGAAAGGATATCATGTACTGATCTTTTGCATCATGAGTATTTTACTAGAGATGGATTTATTGAAAAGTAAGTATTTACGTGGGTATGGCCTTTTTGATTGTGTGTGTGTGTGTTTGTGTGTGTTTGTTTGTTTGAAACAGGGTCTTGCCATATAGCCCAGGCTGGCCTCAAACTCATGGCAATCCTCCTGCCTCAGCCTCCCAAGTGCTGGAGCCACAGGCATATACTACCATGCCTGGCCCGTTTTAATATTTTATACTGGGAAATTTTATTACCAGGAGTATTGCTAAATGGATTACATGACAGAAATATTAAATTTAACAATCTTATTGAGCTATTGCACCAGATATTGACTAGGTATGTAGTAGACAAACAGATGTCATGGATCAAAATTCTAACAAAAAATGCAACTAATATTCATTACACAGTTACAGTGTCTTAGGTAGTATGCTAAGTTTTCTATTCTACAATTTCACTTTCAATATAGTCCAGAAAAAACATTAGATAATCAATACTTTTTAGACTTTTGGGCCTCTGACTCAAACTAATATGGTTTTTCCTCTTCTGATAGCATTCCTATCTATATATTGTAACTAGCCCTTCCTAGATTATTTTGTATTACTTTGTTGTCTGTGGTTATATTATCCTGCCCACTAAAGGACTCTGAAGACAGGCTACATTTGCCCTACCCACTGTATTTTTCTACCTAGTAAATTGGAAGGTCTCCGCAGACAGAGGCCACATTTCCACCCTCCTGTGTCCCGCACTGTGTAACATATTCAGCATATAGGATACATTGACAATTTATATTTATTAATCAACCATATTTCTAGAAAACACATTTTGAATTTGGGTTTTGAAGGAAGTAAGAAAAGTTTCTCATTAACTACAGAATCACTTAGTTGGTGTGTGGACATTAAGTCAGGAAGATTCATCTCAGTTTTTGTTTCTTTTTTGTTTCTTTTTTGTTTGTTTTTTTTTGTTTTTTTTTCCGGTACCAGGGATCAGACTCACGACCTTGCACTTGCCAGGCAGGCACTGTGCCACTGAGCTAAATCCCCAGCCCCTCATCTCAGTTTAAAGGTGATGGAGTTAGGGTCAGGTATGGAGAAGTCTGGAAAGTACAATTGGAGATAGACTTAAGTAGAAAAAAGGCAAAGCAAAGAGAATCCTCGAGAGTAACTAGACCTTCAAGTATTTCAGCATTTTTACTATAAAACAAAAAAAGAGGAGAGACCTTGATGAAAGGGCCACTGATGCAAAGTACCAATAATTGAATAAATAAGTTGCTTCATTCCAGTTCTCTGCAAACTAAATTGATGTCTCCAGAGTATTTAAATACAGTATTAGTTTTTTTTTTTTATTATGGGATGAATGTATCTTGAGTGCAAATTATGGAACCCTCAGAAAATATTGGAGTGAGACCTCTTCCTTTCTTTTGGAGTCTTTATTTATTTTTTTATTTTGGGAAGGGTTTGAGACAGGCTGTCGCTATGCAGTTCAGGCTGGCCTTGGACTCACCATGTAGCTCAGGCTGACCTTGAACTCAGAATGATCCTCCTGCCTTGGCCTCCCAAGTGCTGGGATTATAGGTGTGTGCCACCATGGCCGGTTCCTTCTTTTGTGGACCTTCTGCACTGTGAGGGTTTTAACAGAAGCATGGCATGTTCTCAATTAGCTAAACTAATCACATTTAGTTCTCCATTTTCTTCATCTCTACACACTACCTGTTGCTAGTCATGGACCCTGCACAGCACCAGCAGCGGTAGATGGGCTAAGGAAGAATTCACTGATGGAGTGGTGTTTTATTTCTTACCAGTAGAGTGCTTGTGCATCCATGCGGGGGAACCATGTGATTCAGGAAAGGATGTGAAGGGGACTCTTTAGTGTAGACTCTGGAATTTTGAACTATATGAACAGATTTTCTATTAAAAAATAAATAACTTTTAAAAAGCAAGAAAGACAACTAAAACCAAAACAATCTCCCTTCATTATTTATGTATTCCATTACATTTTGTACTGAAAATATTTCTCTAAATTAAGATTTGAGAAACTGATTAGTTCATCTTGTAAGTCATGCTCCTTTAAAGGAACCGCAAAGTGGTCTTAGTTTCATTGAAAAGAATAGCATATTTATCAAAATTGAAAGCAATATTTCATTGAGTAACAAACATTTGTATCACAAAAAGAATATAATTCATATGTGTTTTTTGCAAAAGCTGTATACAGTAGATTAACATAGCAGATCTTTTGAAAAATGTATCTTTGTCAGGAAGCAATTTTTTTCTTTTTTGCATTTTCTGAGATAGGGTTTCACTGTGTAGCTAGCTCAGGCTGGCCTTGAACTTATTATGTAGCCAAGGCTGGCCTCAAAACTCGTGGTGATCCTCCTGACTCAGCCTCAGGAAGCAATTTTTATTAGGTAAATAAATATTGTTATTTCTTGGCATGCATTATAATTATACAGCATTATTTATGCTGTAGCTGAAATACAGTTTGATTAAATGGTTCTTTAAGAACATCTACACAAATGAGCCGGGCATGGTGGCACGTGCCTATAATCCCAGCACTTGGGAGGCTGAAGCAGGAGGATCAACACAAGTTCAAGGCCAGCCTGAACTGCTTAGCAAAACTCTGTCTCAAAAAGACCAAAGAAAAGCAAAACATCTACACAAATGAAAAGATTATTGGGCTGGAGAAATAGCTTACCAGTAGAGTGCTTGTGTAAAGTGTAAATCTATGGGTTGAATCCATAGCACCATGAAAAAATTCTGTATCTATCTATATGGTTGTTTTATTAGATTCTTACCAGAATTAAAAGCTAAATTACTACAAGAAGCAAAAGTCAATTCATTCATAAAGTCAAAAGAGAATTCTAAAGAAAATGAACTCACAAAAGATGAAAGAAAAACAGTTTTTACCAATACACCGGTAAGTACTTCAGTTTTCAGAAAGGTAAGAACTTTGGATTTTTATTTCAGCCAGTATAACTGTATTATATGTTAGTACTCTTAGGACAAAGATAACAATTGTCATGACTCAGGTTTTGGATGTGTCTATTTTAGGAAATGGAAAAAGAGAAAAAGCCCAAGGAGATCAAAGTCACAGTTATTAAAGTCAGAGGAGGAAAAGGAGATACCTCAGAACTGAAAAAGACAGAGTGTGAAGGTAGACGTTGTCGTCAGGACGCAGTTCAAAACACTCGCGCTTTGTCTCAAACTACAAAAGCTGCAGTCTCCCTCCCTGATCCACCAAACCCTGCCAGTCCCATCGCTAACCCTAACGATGTGAAGGAAGAGCCCCATGCTGAAGGGTATAGGATAATGCCACCCATCAATCTTACTAACACCAATTTGATGGCTGCAAATCCCAATTCAAATCTCTTCCACCCCAATCCAAGGTGAGCTATAACAGAGAGGAGACCTAATACAGTGTTCCTGTATTATGGTGTGTCATCGAATAGCAGTTATGGCATCTATACATAAACAGAACTTGAAAAAGGTCGATTGCAATTATAATTTTATAATGGGTCACTTACTGAGCAATACTTATGAACGCGATAGAGGAAATTAACTTTTCTTGGATATATATATAGACGTTTAAATTTTCACTAATATCTTTTGGGGAAACCTCACTTTTTAAAAAAAGGCCCTTAGAAAAATGTCTTCCATTTTGAAGGTACTGAGGTATCCGCGCACGTTGGTGTCTGCTAGTGTTGCTCTAACAAAATATTTTAGTCTGTTTTGTGTTGCTCTAACAAAATACTTACCGGAGGTTGGGTACTTTATAAAGAAGAGGTGTTTATTTGGTTCATAATTCTGGTGATCAGAGGTTCCAGCAGCAGGGTGCCACCATCCTGGCAAGGGCCTCCTGGGGTATCACAGCATGTTAGCCAGAGAAGTGGGCAGGGAACCAGCCACACACAGAAGAGGCATGTGTGTGAGCAGGGAGGCAGAAGAGATTCAGGGGAGATGCCAGGCTTCCTTATAGAAACCTTCTCTCGTGGGACTTCCTTCAAGAGTGAGAAGCCCCTCCTAGGGGCAAAGCATTAGTCTCTCTCAAAGACCTAACTGCCTCCCTCTTGGACCGACCTCATAAAGGTTCCACTGCCTCTCCTCACCACCAACTTCTAGCATATGGACCTTTGGGGGACAAACCATATTTAAACCACAGCACTGGGTGTCACATGCTAAACTTTATTTCTATGGCATAGCAAACTCTCAAAAGGAGAAAGGACAGCCACAAATAATTTTTCATAGTCAAATAGCTTTTCAAAGCTAAAATTTGGAGAGGAGAACAACATACTGGGCCAGTTTTAGGTTTTCGCCTCTGATACAGATGGACAGTTTATTGATTGTGAGCACGATGACAAATGGTCTGCCTAGCAAGGCCTTGGGACCAGTTATCAATCTGGAAAGACTACAGTGATCTAGGTAAGAAAGAGGACTAGGTTCATTAACCCAAGCAGACACTAGCAGACTGATCTGGGCTAGAAGTTATGAGGGTTAGTGGTCTGCAGAGGCGGGTAAGTGGATGTGTCTGTCAGTTCAAAGCACAGTAGACTATAGACTGCAACAGCCTAGTTCAGTGATGGCAAACCTTTCAGAGAATAAATGCCCAAATTATAACCTGAAACCCACTTATTTATCAAAAAGTGCCAACACTGCCCCATGTACACTGTTCTCTGATGCTCGGCTGTGGGATGACGCTGGGGTGACTTGGCTCGTGTGCCAACAGAGAGGTCTCTGCATGTCTACTGTGGCACGTGTGCCATAGGTTCGCCACCACTGGCCTAGTTGTTCCTGAGGTGATTCAAGCAATGGTGAGAACTAAGTTCAGAACAGACAGAAGAGTGGAGAATGGGTAGCAGGCCGACAGGAGTAACTCCATGACGGATGTTAGCCATCCATTAGTTGTTCTCTACTACCACGTCTCTCACTAGAGCTTTTGGCACTTAAATACTGTACTAGCAGTTGCTTTTTGGTCCTCAGTATCTTTACCATATATATTCAGGGTGTAAGTTTTTCTTTCTTAAAACTAAGACAAAGACACTTCTGGGGTCTGATAACTTACCATTTGTTTTTAAATAATAGGTTAACTGAAAGAGCAAAAAAGAGACGCACTACTTCACAATCTATTAGACAAGTTATGTCTAACAGCAGGCAAGAAGACATAGGTCCTACTCAAGTAAGGAGAAAAGCTAATCATTAAAATACAGCCTCTTAAAATTACACCCTTTTCCTTTTCTGCTTTTCGGGGGTCCAGCATGTAAAAAAGTATGCTTTTAGTTTGATCTTCGTCACTTTCCTTGTCACTGGGACAGAATACCCAGCCCCTGCAATTTAAAGGAGGAGAGGTGTATCTTGGCTCACAGTTACGGACACAGTCTGCAGGTTGCAGGGAGAAACAGCGCGGGGTCGGGGGAGCTGGTGGAGGAAAAGCTGCTCATCATCAAGAGAGAGAAGGGAGGGGTGTGGAGGGAGACACACCCTTCCAGGTCAGGCCCCAGAAACCTGCCTGCCACACCTCCTAACTGCAAGTCAGCTGCGGCAGCCCCGGGTCCAGTCCTCCTCCCAAAGCCCACCTCCACCTGCGGGGTCCTGAGGCTTTTGGAGGCCATTGAGATACACACTATTAACAAGTTTCTTTTTCCTTTCCTTTTTTTTTTTCTTTTGTGGCACTAGGGATCAAATCTAGGGCCTTGTACATGCTAAACATGTGTTCTACCTTTCCTATATGTTACTTTGTATATTTAATATGCAAGTTGGGAAGAATAAGTTAAACCTTCCACCTTTGAAAGTCATAAGAATTTTAGTTATCCCAGCACTCAGGAGGCTGAGGCAGGAGGATCACTGTGAGTTCCAGGCCAGCCTGAGCTACAAAGTGAGCTCAAGGCCAGCCTGAACTGCATAGCAAGACCCTGTCTCAAAAAGACCAAAAAAGAATTTTGGTTATTTGTTTCCAAAAAAGTTTTTAATAACTTACTTTATGAATTTAAAACCATTACTAAATAGACACATTTATTTTTGCTAGGAAAACAAAACAAAACAAAACCCATTGTGGGCCCTCTTGGATTTTTTTATTATTATTTTAAATTATTTTATTAAAAATTGAAGCACAGGATTATTTATAATAATAAACACTTGCAAAGGCAAGCCTATTTAAGGAGCAAGAGATGTATCAAGGTACACTTATACAGTGGGGTACTACACATTATGTTGTGCAAGTATTCATTGATTTAGAAAAGCCTTTGTGATCTGTTGACTCAAAGTAGGTGCATACAAAAGGTTTTCCAGATGCCAAATACACAAACAGTTTTTTTTCTTTAGGTTTTCTTGTGCCCATAAAACAAAATCACTTCATAAACAGAAAAATAAGTTATTAAAAATGAACCAAAGCAGTTTTTTTCAAAATCAGAATGGATAATATCAAGGGCAGTGAAACCCAGGTTATAAAGAGCAAAATGAAAGAATGATAAGAGGAAGTGGGAAGACAGGTCTTCCTCTAGTGGGAAGGGGTGGAGAGACGGAGGGAGGAAGCAAAGGGAGGGGATGGGATGAAACAGGAATTACACTGTGTTGCCTGCATGTACCAGCTCCGCCCAAGGCCTGTGAACATTGTATGCTGCGAACGTGTACTAATAAAAATAAAAATTAAAGAAAGTTAAAATTGCAAGTCTCATGATCAAGACTGTTACTGTCAGAATATTAGGCATACTAAAATGTTTGCTGTATGAAACTTTCATTGGAGTCTGATGTATTTATATGTTTGATGGTATCTTACTCTACTTAACTATGAAACTGTTATGCTTATTGTACATCATCCAAATGGCTATCAATTCTACACTGTAATTCTACAAACAGTTACACGTATTTCTTCAAACTAACTCTTATTTGTTTGTTTAGAGCCGGATGGAGAGGGGTACCTTTAATGAGCGCACAGGTCAAAGTGACCAAACAGCAAGTGGGTACAAAAGGAAGCTGAATTTTTCCAGATTTGACAGGAAAGAATTCCATTTCCCCGAATTGCCTTTCAAAGTACAGTCAAAGGACATGAAAGGAATGGAAGGTACACATTTGTTGCATAGCTTTATAAATCCACATGATATCATTTACAGGATTTTTTGGTAATATAACTTACATTTTATAAAGTGATTTAGGAAGATAACAGTAAATTGCTGAGAAAAACAATTTCCACTGATAAGATTTTCACCCTTATAGCCAAATAAAGGTGAAACTTAATGGAGTTAAAGGGAGGGAAAGACAGCTTGGAGGATTTTTTTTTCCATTAGCTCCAACCAGTTGAAACATTAGGTAGCTTTTTGTTGTCCAGGACAGGAGCCACGGAGCACACACAGCCACTCAGCACTTGAAATTCTTTTTCTGGTGCTGGAACTTGAACCCAAGACCTTGTCTGTGATAGGCAAGTGCTCTACCACTGAGCCACACCCAAGCCCTAGGTAACTTTTTTGTTTATTTGTTTGTTTTTGTTTTTCTTCCGTTACCAGGAATCGAACTCATGACCTTGTGCTTGCCAGGCAGGCGCTTTGCGGCTGAGCTAAATCCCCAGCCCCCCTAAGTAACTTTTTGAAAAAAGTGATTTTGGCTCAGTAACTGACATGGAATAAATCATCTTCCTTCGTTTCTCCATGATCATCTTCACATATTTCCAGGGATGTTATAAGTGCTCTGAGCATCCAAAGACTTGGTAGATTAAGTCTATTAATTTAAGGTTTATCTTAATCTTAACTTGAAGATTTAGCTTAAAATAACTCATTTTTTTTTTGCCCAGGTGCATAAATGTTCTTAAGTTTCTTTGAAGAATAGTGACACCTTGTGCAAATGTGATACAATAACAAGAGTGTAGTACTTGTAGAGTTCAAGAGGAATTATCTGATCCATGTAATAGTTGTATTCAGAATAAAAATAAAGGTCTATTTTAATATTTGGTAGACGATTTGTAAAATTACAGAACAAATAATTTGCCGTACTTCATTATTACAGCTCATGATTTATTCAGTTCCTTTATAATAAGCAAAGAGATTAATTTGTGGATGTCAGAATTTCCATTTGAAATTCTTGAACAGGAAAGTAAAATTTCAGCACGGGAATAACAAATTTCCATTGTTTTATATATTTTTTGCGAAAGTTAAACAGATAAAAGTGCTGAAGAGGGAGTCAAAGAAAACCGATTCATCTAAAATACCAACTTTACTTAATGTGGATCAAAATCAAGAAAAACAAGAGGTAAAGCTTTTGTTTATAACTTTACTAAGGAACGTTGTTTTGAGTCCTTAGCTCAGTGTATAAATTTAGTTGTTACTATTGGAAAGCTGCATAAAAATTCAAAATTCTGGAACCTCTGAACTCTAGGAGCAGATCTATATTTTCCTAGAATAATCAATCCCTAAAAGTCTGTCTTCCTTCTCTTCTCTCCCCTCCTCCTCTTTCCTTTTTTCGCCTTCTCTATTCTCTTCTCTCTTTCTAATTTCTTGTAGTCCTGGGGATTGAACCCAGAGCCTTCACACTGAGCTATGTTCTCATCCCCCACTTTTTTTTTCATGTTGAGATAGGGGTCTCACTAAGTTGCCAAACTGTCCAGGCTGGGCTTGAACTCACAGTGATCCTCCTGCCTCAGCCTCCCTTAATATTGTAATTACAGGCATGCACCAAAATGCTTGGGTCACTTACTAAAAGTTTCCAAAAGTTACGGTTTTTGGATAGTAAATATCAGTAAATTTTAAATGGTTAGGATACACAGCCTACAGGGAAGATAATACCTCTATTATATGTATTGTTAAACACTGAGCAGGTGGTTCATACAGTGAAGATGAGTAACGGTAAAAAAGTCTGGTTATACTGACCACAAAAACAGGTGTTTAGCCTCTTTTTGTTTTCTCTCCAGCTCATTTCCATCTATCACTGCTATCCACCTGATGCCCCATTTTTAGACATATGTACTCTCAGTTAGCTATCAGGTGATCTTGTTGAAATACCCTTAACTTCTACATACCTAGAGGAACTCTCGAATTTTATTTTGAAATCTTGAAGCTTTCAACAAACAAGTGAATATTCGTTGAAGTATTCTCTTAAAGAACAGAGACTGTGTTGAGCACCCACTAAGTTAAATCATACAACAGCTGGGCATGGTAGCACACTCCTGTTATCCCAGTGCTTGGGAGGCTGAGGCAGGAGGATTGCTGTGAGTTCGAGGCCAGCCTGGGTTATATAATAAGTTCAAGCCCAGCCTGAACTACACAGTGAGACCTCTTTTCAAAAAAAAAAACCATGTAAATGGACTCCTTGTGAGGCCATCTCTGTGTGTGTGATTCTGTGATTTATCAACTTCATCATCTCCATTTTAAAAAATGAAATCAACTACATTTTTATTATAAAGTTGTACATACCTATTAAGGAAATTTAAGTAAATTTAATATGTATCTGAAACCATGTAAGAAGGCATTTGAACTAAGGTTACTGAGTCTCTGCAATATTTGGTTAAGGGTTACCAGACACTCTTAGAGGTACCTGTATGTTCACTGTGACCTTTAAAACTATGCTTCAGTCTTGGGCTAGAACTTGTTAAGAACCTCACAATCCACTTTGCAGAAAAGAAGTGTTAGAGAATGTGAAAGCCATCAATCTTTCAGTTCATTTAAAAGTAACAAGTTTCCATCAAACTCCATGTGGTATAACAGCAGGCTGTGTAGCACACATCCCAGTGCACACATCTTGAACGGTGTGGGAGTTAGAGCTCCTGAGCTCGGGCTGACTAATCATGCACCACAAGTATTGATCGTGGTGTTTCAAGCAAGGCCCCAGGAGCTAAAACTACATCCCAATGCAGGAAAAACAGAACTTGTAAAGCAGTTTTGTCATTTGTAGGATAAATAAGTAAATGAGAAGGGGAAACTCCTTCTTGGTCATATGTGTAAAACTCCTGAAAACATGGCCTTTTAAAAAGGGTGATCTTGAAACAAGCTGAAATTACTAGATAGATCTAGCTGTTGGGCTTGGGGTGTAGCTCAGTGGTAGAGCGCTTGCCTGGCATCTACAAGACCTGGGGTTAAATCCCAAGTACTGCCAATCGGGAAAAAACCCCTCAGAAGTCATGAGTATTGGTTGTAGTTTATTTGTACTGCCCATTCAAAAGCAGTTCTGACAAGTGGCTGAGTAGCATAGAAGGCTGGTCAAACAGTTTTAATAAGTTAATGTCAGAATAAGAATCTTTCCTAAATTTTGAGCCTGTAATTTGCTTTAGAGTACAAGAAATAGGACATGTTGTTGAAAACATAAGATAGGTTAGATTGACAAACAAATAAAAATTTAAGATATAGAAGAGCAATTTATTTGTCCTATTCTTGGCTCTGACACTGACTTTTTTTAATTACTGAATTACATCAACATACTTCTTAGATGTACATTAAATTCTGCCAGGCATCTTGAATGTATATTGAAGGGAGCTGAATGTGGTGGCACATGCATGTCATCCAAACACTTGGGAGGCTGAGAGGGGAGGATCACCTTGAGTTTGAGGCCAGCCTGGGCTACATAGTGAGTTCAAGACCAGCCTGAACCACACAGTGAGACCCTGTCTCACAAAACGTGTATTGGAGTAGTTTATGCATATATTGAAGAGGCTGTGTGACCAGAGAGAAACCCTAAGTTATTGTGAATGAGTAAAAGAAAAAGAAAAATTGTTATAAAGGCCACCTTCTGTTTAATGGTGATAATGAGGAACACTTTGCTAAGCAGTTGCTATATCTTATAAAAAAACTCAGGCACAACGTACAGGTATTTTACTTCTGCTTGTTTTTTCTTAGCCAAAGACTCACCATATCCTCAGTTAAGATCCTATTTCTATTTACTTTTTTAGAATATAGGAAATGTATAAACTGAAAAGAAGAACCTCCCAGATGTAGAGCAGAAAATATAGCAGCTGAAAATTTAGAGAATCCCAGAATTACTGTATGGTTTTTTTTAAAAAAAGTCCTGTTTATTAATGTTACATACCCAAGGGCTGGGGATGTAGCTCAGCAGCACAATTGCCTGCCTGGCAAGTGCAAGGTCCTGAGTTCAATTCCCAGTACCAAAAAAAAAGTTACATACACAAAAGTCCTGACTAGAAAATCCTACAAGATATATCATAGATCCTGTCTAGTTATTTGTATACTGTATTTGGCTAAATTTGTTTTAAAGTTTATAATCCATAAATTATTCATATTCTTAATTTGAACATTAATTTATAAAAACTGTTGACTTGTGTGTCCTTATAAAACTGCAGCTTACATTACATCATATAATTTTATTTGATCATCTGTTATTTCAGGGCATGTTTGATTAGTTGTCATTCTTACCTTTGGTTCAGAGCTTAATAATTACAGGAGGAAAAGTTTCTAAATATGTACTAAAGTGAGATCCCAAAGTCTGGGAGAACCAAATATTTCTGAGCAAGGAGGGTTCTTGGTAAGCATGAAACATGGGTTTGGTTCCACCTTGAACATTCTGGGACAGTGTTTAACCCGGTTATGAGATTGTTTAAAAGGATGGAAACTGAATCAGCATGGAAACCAATCGTTTGCTTGAGAAGCATGCCTATCAATTAGTGGTTTACTGTAATTTAACAATGGTTAGCACAGTCCAGGTTTTGGCAGCATTAATATGCATTTACATTCTTATTCCTGGTTCTGAGTAGCTTGGTTTCTAACATAAGTGTGGAAATGGCCATTGTGAGGGGAAGAATTTGAAGAGAAACATTTTCTTTTCAGGTAGTGTTTTCCTCTAGTTATTCTTAAAAATGCAAAAGGAGATCTCTTCCCTTTTTATTTCATGTACAGCAGAGGTGTGAGGTGAGTCACTGGAGACAGCCATTCATCCTGTCTGCATTAGTATCACCCAAGTTTTTGTTTTGTTAGAAAAGCATACAATAATTTCTCCTGTCTTCTAACAACTCTCTCTTGTCAGGATGCCTTGATTCAGAATTACAAAGTCATCCCCTCTACGCCTGCTTCTTTACTTGCAGAGATTACTGAGTGGGTAACAACACATCCTGTCACATGACAGACACTGTACTTATAATGATTCTGCCCTCTGAGAGTCACAGAACTTCAAAAGTCAGTTATCTCCTAGAGTGCCCAGGCTTCCTAAAGTGAGTTCTTAATGAAATATCTGATCTGTTGTTTTAAAATCTGCTTATTACCATTACATGATGAAAAACATGTTCTGTTGGTCACTAATAAAAACATTTATAATATTTATGAAATATCTAAAGCTTATGGTATTCAAATATTAACTACATTCCTTTATCCCTTTACACAATTGTCTGCACTCTTTTGGTTTCTTATTTCCATCTGATAGTGCCTTTTTTTGAGGTAGACTTTCTCTATTTCACAAAATAAATTAGGCATTACCTGATGAGACAGAACAAATGTACTAACTCAAGTCTTTTTTTTCTTATAAAGCCATGAATGCCATCATAGGGACCTCACCTGTGTGGCTGTCATGGTTTGGGGGATATTTGCAAGGGGAAACAATATATAATACAGGACACATATTTTATAAGATTATTTATAATAGTCGCCCAAAGAATGATATACAAGAGAGTGCAGGAAATCTGTCCACACACTAGACCAGGAATCCAGCTGAGGGCCTGAATCCCATGATAATGTCCTGCGTGAATCCAACTGAAGAGGTAGAGCCCATAACAATGCCTTGACAAATCAAACTGGAGGCCTAGAACCCATGACAATGTCTCATGCAGGCCTGTTTCACAGATCTGCACTGCGAAGGCCCAAAGATCAGTAGTAGAAGCTAGAAAGTCTGTACCAGTGGGATGCAGGCTGAGGGATCTGCACTGGAGCCAGGAAGTGATGCTCAAAGTAAGAACCAGAGCTCCCCCGAAAAGTACCACAGCCATGCTCAGCAACAGTGAGATCCCGAGCTCCTCCGATGATCAGGATGGCTGAGTTCCCATCAGGAAAGCCCACACAGAAAGCACCTCCAGAACACTGGTTCGAAGCGTTTTAGATAAGAGATGCATAGCCTTAATAGACAACCATGGCATTTATAGATTAAAATAGTTTTACTTCTTACTTTCCTGTATTTATGGCCTTTATCACTTTAAAATTTTTTGTGTTATTGCATTGGCTGTCAATATTTATGCCCTTTACTACTTTTTCTCCCCTTATTGAATTGGCTGACATGTGATATAATGTTGAGTAAATGTAGTGAGATTGGACAAGCCTGCT